ACTATGGTGGTTAAGTGACTCGTGGGGGGGTCATACAATTCCCGGGATCATGTGATCACTTTTTGCGACCTTCCGACAAACCAAGTCAATGGAGAAGCCAGATTCACTTAAATGCCTTGTTACTAACTTAATTGCTTCACTTAACCACTCTGGCAAGAAAGATTGTAAAATGGGGCCAAATTCACTTAACAAATATCTTACTTAGCAATAGAAATGTTGGGCTCGATTGTGGTCGTAAGTCCATAAAGCTACTAAGTCCTGGCTGTTCCAGCAGGCTGGGGGCTGTTGAAGTATCTAGCCCCACTTCACCTGTGAATGTTGTCGTATTTTAAATTGTTGTATTGTCTTGTGTTGTCTTATTTATCCCCTTTCCCTGTTTTATTGTAAGCCGCCCGAAGTCCTTCGGGAGTGGGCGGCATACAAAACCAATGAAATGAAATGAAATGAAATGAAGGAGTACCTGTATATATGTACCCTATTTTCCCTAAAATAAGACCTCCCTCAATAATAAGCCCAATTAGGCTTATTATCGCTCCCTGCCTCCTGCACCTCAAAAATAATAATAAGACCTCCCCAAAAATAAGGCCAACCGCTTATTTTGGTGGCAAAAGAAAATAAGACCCAGTCTTATTTTGGGGGAAACACGGTACTAGGAGGACCGCAAGATCCCTTCCAACTTCGGTATTCTGCATTCTATTTCTTGGTCATCAGATTTCAGACCCAAATTGATGGTTTTTGTTTTTTGTTTTTCTTAACGTCGGACAGCTGGAAACTTTGGGCCAGAGCGAGCTGGCTTCAAGACTCACTCTCAATTGCCAGAATTCCTACGTTGAACCTCATAAAATCCGAGATGTCCCTGTCACCATCATGGATGTGAGCAACCTTGGGCGTATTCCTAGCTGATAAGCATGAGATGAAACTGGTTTGGCTGGGTATTGATTAGTGGGGATCTCCAATCCAGGAGGACTGTGGTAGTCGCGCCTGCATCATTTCCTGCAAGCATTGGGACCTTCTGGAATAAAAGATAATATAACTCTATAAAGCCCTAGTAAGGCCACACCTAGAGTACTGCATCTAGTTTTGGTCACCACACTATTAAAAAGATGTTGAGACTCTAGAAAGAGTGCAGAGAAGAGCAACCAGGATGATTAAGGGTCTGGAGGCTAAAACATACAAAGAACGGTTGCAGGAACTGGGCATGGCTAGTCTAGTGAAGAGAAGGACCAGGGAAGACATGATAGCAGTCTTCCAATATTTGAGGGGCTGCCACAGAGAGGAGGGGGTGAAGCTATTTTCCAAAGCACCTGACAAGGCATAATGGATGGAAACTGAACAAGGAGAGATTCAACCTAGAAATAAGGAGGAACTTTCTGACAGTGAGAACAATCAACCCATGGAACAGAAGTTGTGGGAGCTTCATCACTGGAGGCTTTCAAGAAGAGACTGGACTGTCATCTGTCAGAAATTGTGTAGGGTCTCCTGCTTGGGCAGGGGGGTCAGATTAGATGACCTACAAGGTCCCTTTCAACTCTGTTAATCTGTTTTAAAAAAGGAGAGAACTTCTGCTTCAGGGAAAGATCCTGGGCTCAATGATAAGGGATGGCAAAACTCATGCTGATGCTGTTTTTGACTTTTAGGTATTTGATCAGAGTGCCTTGTCTACAGAAGCCAAGGAAGAGATGTATAAATTGTATCCCAACGCCAGGAGAGCTCATCTTAAAACAGGAGGCAATTTCCCATATCTCTGCAGAAGTGCTGAAGTAAACCTTTATATCCAAGTAAGTCCTGCTCATTCATCCATCCATCCAACTTATTGTATTTTTTGCTCCATAAGACACACTTTTTTTGTCTCCCAAAAGTGGGAAATGTTTGTTCGTCCTATGGGACAAATATTGCCAAAGCCCCACCCACCCACCGCTCCCCACCCTTCAGCTGTTTTTTGGCCTCTGTGCACCCCGTTTTTGACCTCCACCTATCCCTTTTTGGCTTCCATGCATCTCGTTTTTGGCCTCCGCATGCCCCGGGATGTATGGAGGTCAAAAATGGGGAATGGGGAAGGCAAAAACAGGACAGGCGGAGGCCGAAAACTGGACGGGTGGAAGCCACAAATGGGGCTTGTGGAAAACAAAAATGGAGCACACGGAGGCCAAAAACGGGGAGCGCAGAGGCTGAAAATGGGGTGTGCGGGGGCTGAAAACGGGACACGCAGAGGCCAAAAACGGGAGTGCGTCTTATGGGCAGGTGTGTCTTGTGGAGCAAAAAGTACGGTATATCCGCACTTCTCACAGTTCAGGCAACTCTGAGCAACAGTTTCCTCCCTCACAGGTGAAAGTAGAGTCAATGTCAATGTTTTATGGTTTAGAGGGGAAAAAATGAATAGATTCTACTTCTGTCCGTCTGTCCTACAGATACACTTGCTTCAGTTCCATGGGACCAGATATGCTGCTATTGACCCCTCCATGATCAGCGCAGAAGAGCTAGAAGTCCAGAAAGCCAACCTCCAATCTAGCAACGAGCCAGAACTACCATCGTAATTGGACGATCGGCCATTGTTTCATCTAGAGGGCCTCGCCTCTTTCCTTGTTGGCAGATGTCCTACCCAATCACATCTGACCTTCTCCTTGTCTTTCTCTTTTTCCCACTAAACTGGTTAGAATTGGGTCCTTAAAACTCAGCTGGATGGATTTCATTACATGAAATAAGGCTACAGACACTCGCTCCCGTTTCTGTTTCACACGCTAAGTTTGGATAATAAAAGTTAAGGATGCAACTTTGGAAGACTCATTATAAAGAAAAGAAAACAAAACGAATGCAACTGTCAGAGACAAAACTTTTAGTACCAAAGCCTTCATTACTGTGCTCTTAATCGAGAATAAATCTTTTTAATATATATATCTATATCTGTACAAATCTATTATCTCCATGCAGAGAGGGCCTACTATGAACAAATTACAGATGCCTGTACGTTCATTTATAATTTGAATATTTAGTTTTAAACTATGTTGGAAGTGTCAATGTTGCTGTTATGTTTCTTTATATACTGCTGCCGCTTAATGACTTGAAATCAAAGGGGTTTTTTTGTAAAATTTATTTGCTATCGTACTTTTGTTTTTGAATAAAATTTTAACTGGGCGTGGGGAGGACCCCAGTTATTCTGCTGTTAAGAATTTGCAAGGTAATAGCTTTGCTTTGTCCTTTAAGGTTTGGAATTTCGTACAAATTTTGTAATATCCTATGTGGTCTGGAGCCCTCCAGTTGGATTAGAATTATATGGATCTCCAGAATTTTCAGTTGTGCTGTTCAAAATTCCTGGAGATTAAAATTCATTGAAAGTGGGAGATGTTTATTGAGACCTGAAATGATTCAGGTTTTTTATAATGTGACAGTTCCCAAGTTTTCAGCAGCTACAAACAAACAAACTACACAAGAGGGGGAAAACCATTTATTTGAAAACCAGATGTTTCGACATTGCTTTTAAAAATACAAAAACGTCATGACATATTTAAGAAAAGTGTACCGTCCATAGATAAAACACTGTCGTGTCAGCACTGGTGAGAACAAAACAACTGTTTTGAAGTTGAAAGTGCATATCTGTACAGCTGGAAACGGGAGTGAATCCCGGGCCCGGGGATCTTCCCCAAGACTTTGGGATCAGAGCAAATAATGATGGAGGCTGGGATCAGCCCCAGGCTTCTCCCCTGCAATTGGTATCATCCCATCACCTGGACAGAAGCTACTTCAAAGTGCAGGAAATGACATAGAAAAACTTCTTCCTGCCTTCCCTTTTGTCAGAGATAACCAATGCCCAAAGAGTAAATGTGTAATGCACCTCCAGGCACCGATCTCAGAGCTGTATCCTCACTCATTGCCTTTTCTGGCAGATCACAGCGAAGGGCCAGCTGGTGTGTAAATCTCTTCCTCAAAGGGAATGACCCAAGGCTGAAAAAGGCCAGGCTAAAGAGGCCCAGATAGAGGCAAAGAAGCCAGCCTCCCACCCTAGCCAGCTCCGTGTGCATAGTTGAGATAAATAAAATGAAAAAAATAACAATGGACTACAAAAATGTTGGCTGACACAGTAAAATGGTTCCCCCTTGCATTCCTAAGCCACCTAGCATTAAATGCCATATGGATTGAGACGGCTGTTCTCCCCAGATGTGGACATCCAAATTTGGAGCAATGTTCAACAAAAGGATGATGTGAACCAAAGCAGAAGTTGCCAGGTCTCCATAGAGACCTGAGGTGCTGTTGTATTAGTGAGACCTTGCGCTGTTTGGAGTGTTAGTGCAACTGTAATTTTGGCTCTGTTTCCAGAAGACATATCCCTTGATTGTTCACCCAGCACTCTGAACCAGGTTAGTGAAAGCTAGCAGATATAAGTGTGTTTCATTCTAATTGTGGCCAGTTTTAACCACAGTTACGTTTTGCTTGATGGCTCACCTTGGGTAAGCTTACGGTTCAGTTAATACAGCACATAAGAGCATAACTAGGTGGAACATACTGTGTGAACTCAAAAGAGTTCAGGACAGATCCGTTGAGTCTTAAGAGGATCATTCTGCTATAATCCATGGTGAGAGCTGGATGTTGTGATATCTACAATCATCAGATATTTAGCCAAAGGAGCTTTCAAAAGGCGTTGGATGAAATGAAAGTGACTTAGAATGAAAAGATATGAGTTTAGGAAATTTTGAACTGGAAAATTTTCCCATGCAAACGAGCATGATCCCAATTGGAATAGTCACCTCGGTGTAGCCCAACTCTGTACAAGTATTTGGGCTACATTATATGTTGGGATGCGGTGGCTCAGTAGCTAAGATGCTGAGTTTGCCAATCAGAAATGTCGGCAGTTCAGCAGTTTGAATCCCTAGCGCCGCATAACTGAGTACGCTCACGTTACTTGTCCCAGCTTCTGCCAACCTAGTTTGAAAGCAGGTAAAAAATGCAAGTCGAAAAATAGGAGCCACTTTTGGTGGGAAGATAACAGCATTCCGTGCGCCTTTGGCGTTTAGTCATGCTGGCCACATGACCACAGAGACGTCTTCGGACAGCACTGGCTCTTCAGCTTTGAAACTGAGATGAGCAGAGACTTGGGAATGACTACCACATATGTACGAGGGAAACCTTTACTTTTATCTATGTGTTGGGAGGAAGAGGCATAAAATCCCCGCTTCTCTATTTTTTTTTTTGAACAGTCACTCAAAAAGTAAACATGGCACAACTTTCGAAACTTGGATTAATCTATAAAGTTGAACTGCCAGATTATTGCAGAACATTCTGACCCATGTGTCTGCCTACAAAGCATGCTTTTAGGATAAGTTTCCATTGAAGGAAACACGCCTTTATGAACTCTTAATTGGAAAACAAAGAGAGCAATGTGAATAGGACAGAAACAAGTTAACTCTGGACCAAAGAGGGGCTTATTAGCACCAGAGCGATGATCGTCCTTAGCAATGCTGGTTTGCAATTGGTGCTGTGGTGTGAGGTGTAGTCAAGAGTTTTAGAGGCATTAGTTGTCTTACTACAACACAGAACAGCAAGAAGGTGGATGGATGATGAACGTCACCATGAGATTTTCCCAATGAAGGACATGTATAAAGAGGTGTAAACGGGTCAATGGGCTGGCCGAGAATCTCCATAAACATTAAATCAATGGGATCATATGGCAATGCTAAGAACAGATAAAAACCCTTGTAAAGTCAGCTTTAGACCTTGTTTCAGACCTCGGGGGGGAGCAATGGAGGAGGATAAAATCCGTTATTTCCCCTTCTCTCCAACTGAGGCCCTACAGATGCATTGCTGTGATTTAGAGTCTGCCCGTAAAACGGTTTATGCCGACCTGACCTGGATTGGAAAGGTTGCCATTCAAGATGGCAAGAAGCCCTTGGAAACGGTGGCCCTTTGGATGCAAAGTTCTGAAAGAAACCTCTGGCAGAGTTGCATGGAGCCTTGTTGTGTAGCACCTTGGAGCTTCACATTGCTGAACACCTGCGTGGAGATGCGGGCGAATCTGCATTCGCTTGTTTCCGGATACTTTCTGTTGGAAGAGAAAACACACGCATGTGTCAATTCCCCCGTCTGAAGAGTCTGAATCCGTGGAGGAGGATGAGGCGACAGAGATCGAGGGGGCAGCTGTGTCGGCTTTGGAGGAATGTGGGGAGGAGCAGGCCAAGGCAGTCCAGGGCCCCTCAGGATTGGGATGGCTTGTTAGCAGGTAGAAATGGGAGCAGGATGACCGAGAGAGGGCAAGCAGTGAACACGAGAAGCGACAGAGCTCAGGTGATCAACAAGGACCGACTCCCACTCCTGATCTCTGAACATGAAGAGTGGAGAGAAGGCAGGAACAGCGCAGGCCGACCCAATGACTCGGGAGAAGAGTGCTCCACCCCTCTTCTCAAGGCACACCTGGGACTGAGATTTAAGGAGACACTGTGGGGATGGGCATTTGTTGGGAACAAACACTGAATTGGTAGAGTTTGGTGTGCCGGTACAGACATTTGGTGTTTGCAGAACTACTTGCTTCTTCCTTACTTGTGGACTAAGTGTCTTCTTCCTGACTTCGTGGACTCATTGTTTGTTCTTTGTGTCATGGACTCATCTCCATGTTCCTTTGTTTTGCTGGACTGGGAGAAACCAGAGGCTGCTGTGTCTGTGTCTGTGTGTGCTTTGCTCTAGGACTTGCCAAGAACGTGGGAGTGTTTGAAGGGACATTTGGAGAATTAAAGGGGAATTTGAACCTGGCTGTGTGACCTTTGTGCCTTGTCCCAGGTCATCACAGTATGTGTCTAAGCTGGACTTTGACTTCATCCAGCTGTTCCTGGGATGGACTAGCTCATTAGGCCAAAGAGAAAGGCCAAGGAGTCACTATACCTGCTAAATCGCTCCTCCCAATGCCAACCAACCCTTCATACAATCCTTTGATTGGGTTGTCTCCTGCCATGATGGCCCCATGAAGCCAAATCAGCAGCATCCGATGGCCGTGTTCTCGGTAGCTTTTGGTGCCTGGCAAAAAGGGAAGAGCAAACTTAGGTTAGAACAATTACCAGACCCGGGTAAATAGGCACTGGTGGTTTTCAGATATAGCCTCCAGGCTAACAAATTGTGTTATATATTTTAAGAAAGCTTCAGCCTTTTAATAAAAGGGAAGAGTTTGAAAAGGTGCCGCTAGAGACCAACATAGCTGTCCTTTGGTCTTTGAGTATGTCACTTCTCAACGCTTTTGCTGAATTGCCAATGTTTGAAATCTTTTTAATTTACTGTAACTGTTTTCAATTGCTGTCCATTGGGATTTTTTTTTAACATTAAAAAGAAGTTTCTGGCTTGAATTGGAGATGATGAAGGGAGCACAGTAGTAAATCCGCTTCCCCAGAGGGTTGGGCTCGCTCACTGATGCAGTTCTATTTCTCTTTAAAATGCTGCCTGGGGTTGCACATAACCTGGGTGAGGGGAGAGAGAACAGAAAATCCAATTCAAACATGCTTCCTCCAGCTTTTTTTTAAACATGAAGGCTCAGCTCACAGCTGAGCCAGCTATTTCTAATATGGACTGGATGGCAGCCAGGTTAGAGAAATACCGGCTAGCAAAGCGGTTTTGGATTTTTACTTCTTTTTTTTCTTGCAAACCGCTTCTTGGTTTGGTCTCCTCTCTGAAAAAGACGCGTCGTTCATATTTCATGAGATGTTTTCCTTCAGCGCTGGTCTCGCAGTCAAAACGCTAGTCTTGCATTTTTAAAACTCAGGGCTATGGCTATTTTAGCCTGTTTGAAAGACCTGAGAAGAAGTACAGAGAAGAGCAACAAAGATGATGAAGCGTCTGGAGGCTAAACCAGAGGTGGTATTCAGCAGGTTCTGACCGGTTCTGGAGAACCGGCAGAGGAATTTTTGAGTAGTTCAGAGAACCGGTAAATACCACCTCTGACTGGCCCTGTCCCCATCTATTCTCTGCCTCCCGGGTCCCAGCTGATTGGGAAGGAATGGGGATTTTGCAATATCCTTGTCCTGGAGTCGGGAGAGAAAGGAGATTTGGCAGTATCCTTCCCCTGGAGTGGGGAGGGAATGAAGATTTTGCAGTATCCTTCCCCTGGAGTGGGGAGGGAATGGAGATTTTGCAGTATCCTTCCCCTGGAGTGTGGAGGCAATGGGAATTTTGCAGTATCCTTCCCCTGGAGTGTGGAGGCAGTGGAGATTTTGCAGTATCCTTCCCCTGGAGTGTGGAGGCAATGGGGATTTTGCAGTATCCTTCCCCTGGAGTCGGAAGGCAGTGGAGATTTTGCAGTATCCTTCCCACAGAGCAGGGAGGCAATGGGGATTTTGCAGTATCCTTCCCCTGGAGTGGGGAGGGAATGGGGATTTTGCAGAATCCTTCCCTGCCATGCCCACCCAGCCACACTCACAGAACTGGTAGCAAAATAAATTGAATCCCACCACTGGGCTAAATCATAAGATGAACAATTGGAGGAACTGGATATATCTATCTAACAAAGAGAAGGACTAGGGGAGATAGGATAGTTGTCTTCCAATACTTAAGGGGTTGCCACAAATAAGAGGAGGTCATCTTATTCCCCAAAGCACCTGAGGGCAGAAGTAGTAACAGGTGGAAGATCATTAAGAGAGAGAACCAACCTAGAACTAAGAAATGTCCTTAGAGTGAGACCAATTAATCTGTGGAACAACTTGCTTCTAGAAGTTGTGGGTGCTCCAATACCCGAAATTTCCAAGAAGAAACTGGAATAGTATAGGATCTCCTGCTTCAGCAAGTTGGACTAGAAGACCTCCAAGGTCCTTTCCAATCTTACTATTCTATGTTCTAAAAAAGTTAGACCCTCTTCATAATACAGATGGGTCCTGGACTTACAACCATGTGTTTTAGTGATAGTTCAAAGTTATCACTGCGCTGAAAAAAGTCACTCATGATCAGTCCTTCCCCTTAGGATTGTTGCAACATCCCCGGGGTCACAAGATCAAAATTCGGGCCCATGGCAACCAGCATGTATTTATAACATGTGCAGCATCTAAGAGCATGGGATCCCCAAGTCTGACCTTCCCAGATAACTTCTAACAAGCAAAGTCAATGGGTGAAGCTGAGTTTATTTAATAGCCTGATTCACTTGACTGAAGTGATTAGCTTAACAACCAGTAAAAAATTTGGGGGGGTAAAATCAGATATGATTCACTTAGGGTCCTCTTGGGCAGTGGAAATTCTGGTCCCAGTTGTGCTTGTAAGTTGAGGACTTCCTGTAGACATGGCAAATTCATTTTTTTACTACCGGTTCTGTGGGCGTGGCTTGCTGGGCGTGGCAAGGGAAAGATATTGCAAAATCCCCATTCCCTCCCCACTCTAGGGCCAGCCAGAAGTGGCATTTGCTGGTTCTTTGAACTACTCAAAATTTCTGCTACCGGTTCTCCAGCATGCAGTGGTGGTTCTCCTGCATGCAGTGGTGGGATTCAGCCAATCCGCACCTATCCGGGAGAACCGGTTGTTAACTTTTTAAGCAGGTTGGAGAACCAGTTGTTGGAAGAAATCTCCTTTTGGTTTTTTCCCCACTTTACAGGTCTAATCCTGTAAGGAAGGCAGGAAGGAAATATTCTGGTGTTGTTTCTAGCCTAATCTTGATTGCCCTGCTTATAGAAACTGCCTCTCTGGTTAACCCTCATTGCATTGTAACAGCTAAGGTGAAGCACCCATCAACCTGAGTGACGTTGAGTTGGCCATGCCCACCTGGTCACATGACCACCAAGCCACACCTACCCAGCTGATCATTAGGGCAGAAAACTGGTTGTTAAATTATTTGAATTCCACCACTGCCTGCATGACACTCTTCTCATATGTTCAGGAACGGTGGTGGCATTTAGCCTGATCGGACTGGTTTGGACGAACTAGTAGTGGCGACCTCTGGGTGGGCCTACCTACCCGCCCCGGCGCTATGCTGTCCTATTTAGCCACATTTTCTAAGATGCGTGCATGCATGCAAGTCGTGTGTGCGAGCAAAGCGCATGCGTGGAAGTTGACATTTTTGGTGCTTGGCGAACCGGTAGTAAAATTATGTGAAACCCACCTCTGTTCAGGAACCACCGGAATGAAGATCTTGGTCCCTGGTCTCCTACTCCTACTTAGCAGCAGCTGGGATGAAGGTCATCTCTGTTACCTACCTGTCCACTGGTGTTCAATGGCCCGGATATGCGCCTCCGTGAATTTCCAATAATGTGCAAGTTTCTTCCACTCATTGGCCTTGAGGTATTTGGTTGCCAGCCGCCATATCACCGAACGGATATGTTGCGTTTCCAGCCGATGGTCTTGCTTGAAAGTTAAACGTTCTGTTATCCAGGAATCAGAGTCGCTGTTGAGGTTATCCTGTAAAAAAAAAGGTCACAATTTCCTTCACGGTTCATGTTACGAAGCCGGATGCTTGTGGTTATTCAATAAACCATGGTTAAAACAAGCCCAAGATTAGTGTAATGATTGAGTACAATCCCTTAGTATCACAGACTTGTCAGGCAAGATTTGATTACTGTAACTCCTCTAGTGGGGGAAATGGAATAGACATGGGGTAAATCATCCCCACAGATCCAAACATGGAATGGGTTATAATCCTTATTAACTGATTTCTAATTCTTCATCTGCCTCTGGGCAGTATATACCAACCTGGTTTGCCATGGTTCATTTAACCCAGTTTTTCCCAACCTTAGCGACTTAAAGCTGTGTGAACTTCAACTCCCAGCTGGCTGGGGAATTCTGGGACATCCACACAGCTTAAAGTTGCCAAGGTTGAGAAACACCGATTAAACCACTAGATAGGGTTGGCTCAGTGGCTAAGTGGACGCGGTGGACTCAGTGGCTAAGACGCTGAGCTTGTTGATCAGAAAGGTTGGTAGTTTGGCAGTTCGAATCCCTAGTGCCATGTAACGGAGTGAGCTCCTGTTACTTGTCCCAGCTTCTGCCAACCTAGCAGTTCGAAAGCACCTAAACATGCAAGTAGAAAGATAGGAACCACCTTTGGTGGGAAGGTAACAGCGTTCCATGTGCCTTTGGCATTTAGTCATGCCGGCCACATGACCATGGAGACGTCTTCGAACAGAGCTGGCTCTTCGGCTTTGAAACGGAGATGAGCGCTGTCATCACTGACAGGGCAAGCCTTTTGCATATAAAAATAAGAATCAACCCTACTCCTGTCTAGAACTGATGGTGTTATCCAGTTGGGTCATGAGATCTCTGCAAGCCAACCATCAAGCTCAGAGAGAACCAAGGACCCCACAGTTCAACCCTCAGCTACAAATATTCTCTTCTATCTCATTACTCCATTTGACAAAAACAAAGTGTCTTTCAAAAAACCATTCAAAGGAAAGAGGATTATGGTTAAAAAAAAGGTTCTACATGTTCTTGCAGCTATTTAATGTCAGGATATAAATAAATATCCTATCTACTATTGGCCATCCTCTCCCCACTCTTCTGTGATCTCTCCAGCTTTTCATATTTCCTTCCTTTTTATTGGATCATTTTTACCTGTTGTGACCCTCCCAGAGGTGTTTTAATGAGATGGGAAGCCATATAGCTCAATCAATCAATCAAGTCCCTAGGCTTTTCCCAATAACATCATGACTGTTACCACAAAGAAAGATTTCTATCCTTGAGAAACAATTGCAGGGTTTCGGTTTCCTCTGGAGAAATTCTCCCAGTTTTGACAGAAAACTTCAAGGAGTTCTTTGCGTCTGACTCCATCCCACAGCTACATTTTCCTGTTTCCCGCCCGAATGATGAATGTATGTTGTTTACTATTTTATTATATGTTGTCGTCTTAATGTTGTATTCCCCCCTCCCTGGTTTCCTGTGAGCCGCCCTGAGTCCCCTCAGGGAAAAGGGCGGCCTACAAATGCTAATAAACCACTAAACCACTAAACCACTAAAATACCACCACATTGCTTGGAGCAGATGGGCTACTACTAACAAATAAGGAAGAGGTTTATGGTCTTTCATTCTCTCCCTGCCTTTGGTACAATTCAAGATTAGGCTGGCCAATAAATCTTCAACTGGTTTATTATTCAATAGTGAGAAGTTCACCAGCAATTGTCTTGTACAAGCAACGGTCCTTTGAATGGGTTAGGTTAGGAATCTCCTTGGCACATTCTCCAAATCACCAGAGTGCAG